GTGAGCACTTTCACTGCTTGAGTGTAGCCACTGTCCTGCATTCTCAAAAGTGGCAAAAAAATACTCCACGGGTGCAACCTTGAGCAATTTCAGCATTCTTGTTTTACATTTTTCCTTCTCCAAATATAACAATGAGATTTTAAAAGAAAAAATTGGAGAACAACATATCAAAATTCCTATGTCATGTCTCAGCTCGGGTGATGTCTGCCTGGCCTCCCAGTCTGTCTGAGTGTACAGTGCTGTTTTGTATAGAGCTGCTGATTTTTCGACCACTCCGTGAGAGATTGCCAAGGTCACTGTGTAATTCCAAGTTGAGACTGGGAGCCCAACGCAGCCAAGATCTACTGGTGTACTTTCTACCACTGCCAGGTTTTATTACTTAAAAGGGTTGCTTACCTTCAAACAAATTAAAGCTATCACACAGAGAAGTGCCAAAGTGCTCTAAGTGTTGTCAGCAGTTCTTGAACGTGGAAATTCAATTTTGAGGCTCTTTCAGATCAACACCTTTTTTTTGTGAACATTACATTTTATATCAACACCGTTCGTAGAACTAACCCTCTGAGTCTGAACAGATCAATCAATGGGAAAGGAAACATCTCTCTGTGAGTCCACATGTAGGGTTCCACAGATTATTGGAAACTGAGGATACACACAGTACAGTAGGTAGAGAAAGTGGCCGTTTGAAATGATAGGCAATGACCTCGGCATTTTGAAGTAGGCAGCTTCAGCTGTGAGGGCAGGCTGGGGTCACTCATGGTGTGTGGTGGCCAGTGTGGCTCTGACGGCCCAGAAAGGTGTGTGCAGAGGGGGGCAGGAGCAGGTGTGTGGGCAGGAGCAGAATAATCGCTGGGGTTTACTGTGCATTCTTTACCCCCTGTTGCTCTATAGGTCATTGTTCTTCTGTGATCCTCCATGACCTTCACAGGCACTGCAGATAAATCAGTCTTTTACTGCTCTGGCCTGGGGAGATCAGACAACGGGGCATTGAGCTGTAGTCTGAGATCGAGATGAGCTCACCCTCTTCTCGTTGCCATTAAACCATGACAAGCACATGTACTCCCGATGTGGTTCCCCTGTCCCCTCTTACATTTAGGAACTAGATAAGAAATACTCATTGACCAAAGCCAAGAATAAACACAGTGAACTTCTCCAGACTTAAGTCAGTCCATTATTTCTTCAAATTAATTTTTAGAACGGATCAGTATTGACATGGCACCTGTCCTCTTACAGGACGAGTGCACTCACACTTGCAGTTCAAATAGAATGAACCCATTTGCAATGGAGTTACAGTATATTGTGCCTCTGAATGAAGACAGAATTCCTTCTCTAAGGAAATACAGTACTGTATGTGCTCAATACTTTTTATAACAGGTTTGCATAGAATACAGTATCTTTTTATAACAGGTTTGCATAGCAGTCATACTCTGAAACATTTCATTGGGAATGCTTGTGTGTGAAGACTGAACATGAAAGACAAGAAAAAGCTGATTATCCCAGCATTGCCTGTAATCTACACATGTGGGAGACATCATTCATCTGCGGCCCACATGCTGCGGAGTTTATAATTCTTCTGGCACTCTGCATGGCGGTATGGGGACTTCTGACAGGAGCGCCCTCTGCCTTTCACCCCCTAGATATGCATCAGACAATACTGGAGACTGTAAAGAGTTTTAAACTCATTGGGAGAAATGCGTTCCTTCCAAGCCATTATTAGCACCTGTTCACTGCTAATAAAATAATACTAAACTAATAAAAGCACAGTCGACAATTGTAATAATCAACTGTGAAACCGAATTTGATTCAAAGTCAATTGCCTTGTTTTATACAAAAATCAGTAAATTCCTGGTTTCTGGATACTGGCTTTCCAGGAGAGTCAGAAATACTTTGCTTTCAATTCTGCATGGAAAATCATTTTTTCATTACACTTTTAATGCGGTGAGCTCAAGGCAACAAAAATGCATACCGAAGGCAAATTTATTTTTTCCATGATTTCCATTTTATTCCCACCAAAATAACTAGATCAAGTTAATTCTTTTATAACTAGTTTCATCTGGAGGGAACAGCAGCCAAGGTTTCTGGCTGACAACCTTACAGCACTCCGCAGATTCAGGTGGTCTGGCTGAACCCCGTTTTAAAAAGTATTATAATGTTTTGGGCTTTTCAGTTGAAGGTGTTTAAGACATGGTTGGATAGGCGAGTATCAGCCTCACTGCTCTCAACTGAGGAACTTTTCAGAAAGTTCGAGGGCTCCCATTCCAACTTCCATTTCAACTGCCTTCGAATGGAACCAGTGATTGCAGTCTCACACAACATTTAGAGAGAGGTCAGTCAATTTCTTCATATCTACTGTACAACTTCCTCTTACCCTTCAAACAATAACCTTACAGGTTTATATAAAATTATCCCAATTCACTATAGAAGCCTATAACTCATTAATAGCATTTTTCTAGTAGGATTGTACATAGTTATCATTGTAGAGGTACTATCAGGTCCTCAGCCCCTTCACTTATCCAGCCTGCTCTACAAGGATTGTTCCTACTCTTGGTCATATCTTATGGTTGGCGGTTATTGTTGACTTGCCATCTCACAATTACTTAAAGAATCTGACAAAATGTGGGCATTGTAAAAAGACGATTGACCAATCCCATTTTCTGTGCAACTGCACAACACAACACGCTGGCCAGTGACATTGGACAAGCAACACTCTAAACTGCCAAGATGGCGGTGAAGCACAGGCCGAGACGGGTCTGAGGTTACGTGAAAGAAAAGGAAGACATGGTTGAAGAAGTATTTGTAAAGGAAAGTACTACAGTAGATGACAAAACTGTGACAGTGTGGTCCGATGCCTTCTCTCATCTTGATAACCTTTCAATTTAATGTGAGCCTCCACTTTTCTACCCTTTTTTATTCTTAATGGTGTTTTGCAATGTGGTTTAGCTTCATTCTGAAAATTAGTAAGAAACAAAACAAAAAAAAATTCATGTGATCCCCTCATCGCCAAGGGACTTGCTGCGTGCCTTGTTTGGATCATTGAAATGTGCGATGTCTCCAGGTTCCTCTGGCCTCCTCAGACAGATTCTGGGTTGCCATGAAACCAGCAATTACCAGCTTTTCTTGTGATGGATGATGGGAAAGGTGGGTGAACCAACAGAATCTGACACCTTCGCCAAACATTAGGGGAATTTTAAAGACTTTTTAAAAGCCTATTTGTGAAATAATAGTACCTCATATGTCTCTCTCAATTCATAGCGTCACTTTATGCATTCCTGTATGCCCAACCAATCACATACTGTAGAGTGTGCAGAGTTATGGGAGCAAGTTTAATTCTTGAACAAGAGCATCCTGGAGCTCCTATGGGTTTTTTGTACATACTGTTATCACCTCTTAAACCCATTAGTTCATTAACTGAGGGTTAGCCAGTTCTGGTAAGCTGTATTGTAATAGGCCATTTGTTGCAATGTTGCCAAAGAACAATGTTGCCTTCTCTGTGACATGCTGATAAAGCTGTGCCCATAAATTACCCAGTGAAAGGACGAATGCTGTCATTTCTAAAACAGTTCAGAATTCTAAATATATTCCATCTGGATTTGTTCTCTCTTAATGAAACTCATTTTCTATAGGATGAGGGTTTTCTCTTTTTTTCAAATTGCCAAGGCCCTGCTAGACTGATGAATTGTTTTCAATTTTTCTCATAAATTTTAATGTCTTAGTACAGTTGTGCTCCAGGCGGGAGTCCCAAAGTTTGTTAATGAACACCTGATACTTACAGGGCTGGTTAAACACCACAGTATTAGCTATAGTTTTATACATCTTCCTACATCTTTTAATTGTTTTTTTAAACTTGAAATGACTGCTTTGTACATTGTCAAAGAATAGTACCTCAAAAGAAATGAAAGATGGTATGATTGGAAATTCCCCAAAGTCACAAAGAAATCACATCAGTATGGGCACCACCCTGATAAACTGGGTAAGAAAGCTTTCAGAAATAATTCCTTAAATTTGTAATTCTGTTCAACTGAGCCATGTGAAAGAAGCTATTATTGGTATCTCTGATTTTCCTGTTACTAACACAGGAATGTGCTCTTAGAGCTTGAAAAGGAGTGGAGAACATATTTCATAACTGCTCCAGCCCTCCAAAACGCACAGGTAGAAATACTAGCAAGTTTGCAATGGCAGCTTTTTGGGATAATTTTATAGTTTCCAAAGTGATTTTGTCACATTGCTTATAGTACACATTTCCTTCATTTTTCTAGGGCTAATTCACTCCACAGTTCACCGCAAATCTCTGTATGATTTGCTATAGTTGTACACTGGTATCTTTACAACGAAGTTCAATAAGGCTTAGGCCAGGGGCTGTGCAGAACTATGTATCACTAGAAAAAGCCTTGTACCCACCCAGCTGTGAAGGTCACCCCCCCTTCCCCCCGTGCAGTTAAGTGTTCTCAGGGAAACTCCCTGTTCCTGGCACCACTACAAAGGGCATGTCCACCTCTGCCAGCTGGGCAGCCCACAGCCCTTATTGTATCTGGCACCACTAGAAAGACACAGCCAGGATGCCGCCAGGCTCGTGGGCCAGCTTACAAACACTAAGGCAAGCGGGGGATAAAAACACAACACTACAGGAGCCGTTACTGACCTGAGATTGCAAGAAAAAAAAAACAACAAAAGGCAAATGCGATGTAATGGCTTGTTATTATAAAATCAGCAGGGGGCTGCAATTATTCAGCAAAATATGCAATGCAAAAATACAGAATTAGGGATTAAACCATTTACGGATTACCGGTTTGGCAAACAAATTCCTGCTGAGGTCTGTAATTGAAAAGAGATTTTGTGCAACATGTCTGAAAAATTATTGCTCTTTTAGGGGAAAGAAAAGAGGGAAGGATGCGAAAGAAACGAGAGGAGAATATTCTGGACTGTCAGATTCAGTTGTTGAGACGGCTCTGTGGAGATGAAACAACAAACCAGAATTTGCAGTCTTATTGGATTTGATCCTTGACTTGAAAGGGAGATTGCAGAGATTTTATTAAAGTACTTGAAAAGCCACAGTGGCTATTTACAGTGAGAGAAAACTGTGTAGTCACTTGTCACATAGTTGGTCTATCTGAACAAGCAGCAGGCCAGTTAAACAAACAACCTCCAAAATAAAAGTAGTGAAGTATGGAGTAGTGTTGCATTACTCCCCAATTCACAGAAGCACTAACTCTCTGGGTCTGTAAGGCTGTGTGACTTGACAACCCCCTGGCTCAGGAAAAGAGCTGCAGACAGATGAGGTCAGGTACCGGAGGCAATAATGAGCCTCCCAGGTTCACAAGTTCAGCTTTAAAAGGGATATTGAACAGAAAATGTCTTCATATCATCTGCTGGCTGACCAATGCCCGGACTGGGAATTAACCATTTCTTGTTCAAGCAGAACACATCACCTTTCAGTGAGGACTTCCAGAGAAACCTGTGTTTTCTCCGTGCTGATGGATGATCTGCTCACTTGGGGCACAGACTCTTCCCCTGTCAGGCACAGCTTACTTCTCTCTAAGGGGATCCTTTTAAATTTCCTCTTTTCCCAATTCAAAGTACTGCAAGGAACAGCTCCCTTTTTCAACCTGAAGTAGAGAAACACCAGACAGTTTTTGCAGGTTAGGTGCTAACTTAATGCTGAGTTGCCCCTGATGTGACATTTCGCTGTTAATTTAAGGATTCCCGAAAATCTGATCATCATTTCAGATTTCCAGAATGTCACTAAAGTTATGTTGAAATGGAACCTAAAGCAACATTTCAGTTCCATATTTACACTAAAGGTTAACGTTCTTGTTGGACATTAATAGTAGAAAAATCTGATTTTCCTGCTACTTAATGCTTTTAATGCCTTTTTTCAACACAGATGAAATTCCAAAGGGAATGATACCATTATAGTGAATGAGTATGAAATAAAATATGACAGACAATTAGAAGTGGATTGCATAGAATCTGTTCTTTTTTCTATAATCATTGCATCACAGTACAGTACATTGATTACATGAATTACAATTACATTGCCTAAGAAAACAGTGTGACAATGTTACTTTATTTAAAAAAAATGAAATGTTTATACTCCAAAAGCTGGACCAAAAATAATGTTTAAGCAGATTAAGTAATAGTTTCTGTTCATATCATAAAATTGTTGATATACAGATCTTAAATGTGTAGATAGTAATGTACTGTATTGGTGGTGCAGTATTCTTCTCTTTCACTGTGATTTGTAAAGTATCAGATGGTTTAAATGTGTTATTTACATTGCAGTCTTACTTTTCCAGGGAAAGAATTCACATTATTATGGTGAAATAACATATCCTAGAACTACAAGCAGTTTGGACTTCAAAGCAATATGTTTTCCATTTTTATTTGCTGAGGTCACCAAATTGTACTGGTGTAACAACTTGGATATTACCCTGATTAATAACTTATCAATGGTGAAGCAGAAATTCCAGTTTGTTTTTACACAGTATATAAATTCACCCATTTTGGTGATTTTTTTTGCAGTCACACACAGGAAACTGAGCAAGTGTAGGCAGACTCCTCCTGTCTGCAGGTCATTCATCTTCTGACACATCAGAAACCTGGTTTAGTGATGGCCCAGATTTAGACCCTATTTAAGGCGGAGGAATTTTGAATTTTGAGAACAAAATGGAAGTCAAGCAGCCATCCTGGCTGATGTAGGAACCCATTTCATCGCACAAATTAAATCACTTTTCAGTCCTGTCCTAGCATACCTGGCACGTGCAAACCTGTGAGTCCATCTTTGACAACAGCCAGTTTAAGATCTAGGAGGGAAGAAAATACAAATGAAAAAACTTAAAATCTCTCTTGGCTTCCACTACTTGGAAAGACCAGAAGTCCTTGCAATCTTCACAGGCTTTCACGCAATGGAGCTTGGTAACAAGTAGAGAGGAACTTTGAGTTTGCCCGAGGTCAAGGAACTCAGGGAAACTATGTGCCACTTGGTGAAATCTAACCTCTTCAGAACTCTAAGAAGAGCCATGATATACAGTCTGTCTGAAAACCTAATTATGATTGACAGCTGCATCTTGTCTCCTGGCCTATGAGAGCAGGTGGAAGGGGCGGGCAGCACGCTGGTTATCCCTGTCATGGTGTCAGGTGCTCTGTCACTTGGATTGCTGCTGCCTGGAGACTATAAATCCTCTCTAAAGTGGGTTTACTCTTATTTTTATTGCTGCTGTAAATCTGCTGTACTTGAGCCCTGAAAGGCAGCGGTGTCTATTTTTAAAATTGCTTTTTTTTCCCAGGGAGTTGTGATACCGGGACTTTGCCAAGACTCATTAAATAAAAAAATAATCCCAACTTTAGTAGGATTGCACCCTTTTATTTGAGTGGTGTTCAAAAAGATCAACTGAAAGCATTTTTATTGTGCTAACCAACAGATTAATTTTGAGAAAATCCAGAGAAATACGTCCTTAAGATTCTTTATATATTTGATTCGGAGTGTTTACTTTAGCTCAATTTTAGCAACGCCAGCAGCTGATTTAAGCTTTTATCTGCTGGTTTGTGTTCCATGGCAACATGATAATTCCTTCATGACTACACTGCAACCTTTGTAGTTGACATGCGTGTCAGTGTCTGTCAAATAAAAATCTTAAAATTAATAAATTAGAAACTGCACATTTCACTTAATTATTTTTGGTCTTTTTAAATAAAAACACAAATAAAACCCAAATCATCTATTTCCCATAATGAAAACTCCACATCTTAGACAGCATGCCCCTAGGATGTTTGCGCAGGAAAAACTGTACTTTCGCACAGAAGCTTCCCAAAGATCCAAACTTTCACACTTTTCCTACAAAAGAATTATTCTTCAAAACAGAACTGTTTCACCAGACATTTTCAACCCAAGCCTACTCGTGCACCTTCACATCCTTATCAACACAAAGACCACCAATTAAAGCCATCTAGGAACATGCATTATAATTAGTCAATTACACAATTAGCAAGTTATACAGTACAGAATTACAAGTCCTTGAGGCCCTATTAGGCGACCTCTAGTGGCCGGACCTTGGAAATGACAATCCTGCAATGGGACAACCTGTCACCATGCATTCCTTTGATAGACAAATAATCTCCACCTCCCATTTCCTTTAAATCAGATGACACAAGTCAAGCAATATGAACTGTGGAGCAGCAGAGAAAGGTGTGCTGTCTGCTATAGTAGGATCTCTACCAGTTGCTCCTGAAAGAAGCCAAGGTATTGGTTTTAACCACATGGCTGGCTAGCTTTTTTCAGACTCCCACAGCCTCAATTTCCACTTTCTGATTTCTTAGATATCCTATTTCAAGTCTGCTTCATGAAGCAAGACAGCACAGATAGTGTTGCTGAGCCATAGGGGTGGGGAGGTGGAGACGTATAAATAAATGTAAAATGAGAAACATTTTAGACTTTATAAATGAGGACCAAAGCAATCCACTTTTCAAGGTAGTATATTTTAGAAAATGCCAACATAAGAAAACGGTGACACAACATGTACAGTATATGTCAAACAGGGTTTTGTCATAATGTAAGTCAAGTCATTGTGAATGAGGAATTTATGAATCAACATTTTTTAAGATGTCTACCTCTTGTGTAATGCTACAAGCATCCCGATGATAGTCCTCTTCAATTGAATCATTCGTTTTGAATGTACATCGATCCATTTTCTAACCTTTTTATCCGAATCAGGGCTGGAGGGTGGCCACAGCCTATCTCAGCAAGCAACGGGCACAAGGCAGGGGTACACCCTGGATGGGACACCAGTCCATAACAGGGCATCCACAGACACAGACGCACATTCACACCAGAGCTAATTTACCCAGATGCCAATCAACCTACCGATATGTCTTTGGACTGCGAGAGGAAACCAGAGCGCCTGGAGGAATCCCACACAAACATGAGAAGAACATACAAACTCCACACGGATAGCAGCCCAGGTCCAGAATTGAACCCAGGGCCCCAGTGCTGCGGGGCATCAATGCCAACAACTGTGCTGCCTATTTTGATTGTACTGTACATATGAAATTTAAATTAAATTGAAAATAACATGTACACAGTGTGGACTTGCTTCTTTTAATTTTTTTTCTAATGCGCCCATATAAGATTTTGCTCCTCCGTGAACTGTGTGATTTTATTATATTCAGAACAAATGAAAAATGGGAAAAGAATAGTGCAGGTTTTACAGCAGGCATTTGTCATTATTTTTCTTGTTCTTAAATTTGTGTTTCCATAAAGAATGTACAGTATGAGCTGGTCAGTGGTGTCGCTGCCCTGTGAACTTGTCGTGTTCTGTGTGCGCTGTGTTGCAGGTGCTGTTTGCTCTGAACCAGACCCTCCTGCAGCACGAGAGCGTCCGCGCAGGCAGCCTGCAGGGCTCCTACACCACAGAGGACCTCATCAAGCACTACAACTGCGGGGACCTCGGCACCGTCATCTTCAACCACGACACCTCACAGGTCAGGCTGCAGGCCCGTGTGGCCCAGTGTCCTGTTTGTGTCAGGCACACAAGCATTTTTGACTAAATGAAATCTGAAAAGCAAAACAGAATGGAGCAAGAGAACCACCTCTTAAAGAAGGTTGTGGAGGTTCTGCCTAGCATGCGTGATTACTCTCAACTTTTTATGTAAAATTGAAGTCGTGAAAAAGGTTTCATATGCAGAGACTCGGCATCTTCTGTTAACGTGAAGATAACTGATCCACATAGAAAGGGATAGTCAGGTCTGCTGTATTATTATGTTACTGAACATCGGTGAATAATTCAATGCATGCATTTCATGTTCTGATGTGCTTCAGGCATACTGTATACTCAGGGCTGTGTTGGAGCCTCTTCTGTTTACATGTTGCCTCTTGCCCAGATTATTTGTGGTCCCTGACTTGGGTTTCAGTGCAATGCTGATACTCAGATACACTTGAAGGCCAGATACTACTGGTGTAGGCTGTGCACTATACAAGAGCCCATCTGATAGTAACGTCAAGCTAAACTGAGGTGACCGAGGTTGCTATCCAAACACGAGCTTTGCTAAATTGATCACTTCTGTTTTAGCACCGACAGTACTGAAATTAAATCCTCGTTGGAAGTTAAAAAAATGGACTTTTCCAATTACTTTTGATGGCCTTGATTTCATTCAGATCTGACTATTGTAATGCCTTACTTTATTTACTGAGCTTCGGTATCAGTATCAGTCCAGAATTCTGCAGCTCAAAACTACTGTATAACCATATACCATATACCAATCATATAACCCATCCAGTGTAAATCGTATCTATTTCCTCTGACATTTAAAGTAGGTTTGAATTTTCTCCTGCCCACATACAGTATAGGGCACTGAATGGTTTAGCTCCAAGTTTCTGTCTGTTTAACTGCTTATTACATGCGAACAGTTCAGTACTACATCTGACATGTGATGATTCTGAGCTCCTTTCTCTAGCAGATACAATCCTCCACACAGCAGGAGACAGGGTTTGCCGAACCTTTTACCCAAATCCATTTGAAACTATAAAACGTTTGACATTTTTACACCTCTCTTATCCTTTCATTCCTCAGTAGCTTAATGTAGATTTTAGTTTCACTCTTGGTTTTACTGGGCAATTTACTGTTTTTCAAATCAAATCAAAGTTTATTTATCAAATGCACAACAGTACGGCATGCAGCAGTAGTTGCTGGCAATGAAATGTCTTTTTCTGCGAGCTCAGAAGAATCACAAGAATTACAAAAATTCACAAAAATCACAAAATTGAGGTAACATTTTTGAAATTGAATAAAACTCAATGTGAGTCGAGCTGTTATGTGTCCATGGTGTATGCAATATATACATGTAGTGCAGTTATGCTGAATATAGTGAGAATTGTGTGTCCATGTAACCATTACAGGTGATTTGCTAAGGAGCTACTGGTTGGCTATTTAGCAGTCTTATTGCCTGGAGGTAGAAGCTGTTCCGTAGTCTGTTGGACTTGGACCGAATGCTTCGATACCGTTTACCAGACAGTAGGAGGGAAAACAGTTTGTGACTGGGATGACTGGGGTCCTTGAGAATGGACCTGGCCTTCATCAGACATCTAGCTGAGTAGATCTCCTGGATGTTTGGTAGCTCACAGCCGCTAATGAGCTGCAGTACATTGCGATCCCGTGCGGAGCAGCTCCCATACCAGGCAGTGATGCAACCAGTCAGGATGCTCTCAATAGTGCACCTGTAGAAGTTGGCCTGGATATGTGATGGCATCCCGAAGTTCTTTAGCCTGCGGAGAAAGAACAGGCGCTGCCATGCTGTCTTGACCACGGTGTTTGTGTGGTGGGTCCAGGTTAAATCCTCTGAGATGTTCACTGCCAGGAACTTAAAGCTGCTGACCCTCTCCACTGCAGTCCCATTGATGTGAATAGGTGTGTGGTCTCCACCCTGATATTTCCTATAGTCCACAATCATCTCCTTAGTCTTACTGATGTTCAGAGAAAGGTTGTTCTCCTGGCACCATACTGCCAGGGTTTCAACCTCCTCCCTGTATGCAGACTCCTCACCATCTGTGATCAGGCCAATGACTTGTATCGTCCGCAAACTTGAGATGGAGTTTGAGTTATGCTTGGTGACACAGTCATGGGTAAATAAGGAGTAGAGGACAGGACTAAGAATGCAGCCTTGGGGGGCTCCAGTGTTTAGAGTCAGGGTAGAGGATATGTTGGTGCCCACCTTCACCACCTGCGGACGTTCTGTCAAGAAGTCCAGGATCCAATTACAGAGGGAGATGTTCAGTCCCAGGTCCTGGAACTTGATGACGAGCTTTGAGGGCACTATGGTATTGAATGCTGAGCTGTAATCAACAAACAGCATTCTCACATATGTTCCTTTCTTATCCAGGTGTGAGAGAGCAGTATGGAGGGCAGTGGCAATAGCATCTTCTGTTGACCTGTTCTGGCGGTATGCAAATTGCAGTGGGTCTAGGGTGTCAGGCAGTGAGGAGGTGATGTATGCTTTGACCAACTGCTCAAAGCACTTCATGATAACTGATGTGAGTGCAACAGGGCGGTAGTCATTTAGGCAGCTGACTCTGGATTTTTTTAGGAACAGGGACAATGGTGGTTTTCTTAAAGCAGGAAGGAACTATAGACTGAGCTAGGGAGAGATTGAATATGCCAACTGGTCTGCACGTGCCTTAAGAACACGGCCAGGGATGGCATCAGGGCCAGGAGCCTTGCGTGGATAGGTCTTTTTAAAAACTTTACACACATACTGTACTCTCTGGAAATGATCAGTGGGTTTCCGTCTTGGATTTCAGGAATCTTCCTGACTGGATCTGCGTTGCTGACCTCAAACCGAGCATAGAAGGAATTAAGCTCATCAGGAAGAGAGGCAGACTGTTGTGCGATATAGCTGGGTTGCATATTGTAGTCTGTAATGGTGCGTATACCACTCCACATGGTCCGTGTGTTGCAGCCATGGTAATATGACTCTAGTTTTACTCTGTAGTTGTATTTAGCTCTTTTGATGGCTTTCCTGAGGTCGTATCTGGATTTTTGGTATTTACCCATTTACCCATTTTCTGCTCTTTATGTAGGTTTTCTGAGGGTGTGTATGTAGGTGTGGGGAAGCAATAAATAAACTAACAGACTGCCTGGGTTTGTAGCAATAAAGAGTGAAATATAACTTATTTGTTTATATTTGTGCTTTGCTGGTGTACTGTACATCTGATTTGTTTTGTTGTTACTGAAGCCACCCAGATATACACAAGAATGAATAACTACAGAGGCAGAAGCAACCTTATTTTAGCCTAGGCAACATCCACGTGAAAAACAAGACCAGGAGTAATTATTTCCTAATCAGCACTTAGCTTGTTCCTAGTTTCTTTTCCAAAAACAACTTGGTCTATATCAAAGAGAACTGTCGGGACAGTTTGTCTGATGGGAAGCAGTGCAGTTCGTAAAACTTTGTAGAAGCAAAAACACCTAGAATAACAGTAAACCATAAAGGCATGTTGCAGAACAAGAAGGAAGAATGTTGTGGCAAAGGAAATTGTTTTGTAATTTCAGCTCTAAGCGGAAGCAATGTGGAAGAAAAACCAGCCAGTGATTGTCTAAATGTTGCTTACAGTAAAACATGGATTTAAGAATAATTCCAGTTTAATGTTTAGCATGCATTACAAGATGCTTAGTGCAACAACTTAACTATATGTCTAGAAGTATTACATACATCAGTATTCTGTATGCATGCTGTTATTATCTACAAATTATGCAAACAGAATTGGATAGCAGGAAATTCTGGTTTGATTAAAACATACATGAAAGATCTGGATATACTAGTGTAGAAAATGCAGAAAGAAAATCTGACCATGCAACAGTCTTAATATCTTTAGAAGTAGGTGTGTCAAGCCTATAGCTTATATAAAAATGTATTTATTGATCATGTTAATTGATACTGAAAATTAATTGCAACTTACTGTATCAATTACTAATAACTGGCAAATACAGGGTGAAATTAAACAGTTGGAAGGGGGTTAGGAAACACAAAAACATTTCATGTCAATTGCACAACCCCACCAACCTTTCCAGAAAAGCTCGATTTAGTTTAGCTAATAGGTTCTGTGTGATAAGGTATCTTGGGGATTTCTTTATTTTTACATACCCCATAAATCATATCCCTGATTTAAGGGACCTGTGTTCTCCTGCATCTTATCACTGCGAGGGCCAGCGAAGACTGACTGGACCTGATAGTGCTAATTGGAGCAGTAGAGTCGCTGCAGTCCAGGGGTACAACAGAACAAAGGGAGAGGGGCTTGAGGGCTTTAGAAACCTGAAACATGGGAGACAGGACTCCCTTAACTGGGAAACTTAATGGCACCCTCCTCTTTGACAGATCATTTATCATCATTCATCTGCAGCCAAAAGAGCAGACTACACTCCTGATAAAACACAGCCATTAGGTGCAGATGCAAGGAACAAAAATGTCCATTAGTTGCATTTTTTTTTATCACAAAAAAAAGTTCAAAAGTTCCTGAGATTCCTTGATATCGGTATACGAGATGCAACATTTTCAAGGGTTTTTTTTTTACTTGTGAAGTCACTTTAATGGAAGTGATATAACTCTTCACAGGTTCACGGACACCGTAACAAATCCAGGGTCGACTTTGCCTGCTTGTGATGAAGTTGTCCCGATGTGTTGGTGTCGAGATGCCCCTGGTGTCCCTAGGCCTAGGGAGGTGGATTTTTCCACTGCAAAAACCACACAGGGATCTGAAATTCCCCCTTTATTGGGCACCGATGAGAAAAACAAGGCTTAACCTTTTGTGTTAGAGAAGATATTCTAGAAAAAACACTAGGCTCAACCTAGACAAACACAAAAACAAAGGCTCAACAAAGATAAAATGAACAAAAGCTGCCATCAAAGTCTCCTATCCTTTAAGCCTTATCCTGACAGGAGGATTACCGAGATATTCTTTACAACAATATCACCCCTCAGGAATGAATCCC